TAAAAGTGTAACTCTAGCGCCGTGGATGTAGCTCAGTGGTTCCACCGCCTGCCTCGCAAGCGCAAGGTCCTGAGTTCGATCCCCTGTACCAAAAAAAAAAAAACTTTCTTTAAGCTCAACTTTTAGCAAGAGTCCTTAGCATCAGCTTAATGCCAGATGAGATAATTCAGTTACAGATCTTCATCAGTGTGGTTTAGTTGAGGAAATTAAGTCTTTGGATCTCATCAATGCTAAACAATTACTTTAACTTTGATTTTTTAAAATTATGAGCTAATTGCTTTTTAAGTATTCTTGGGTTAACAAAGGGCACCAGTGGGGTGTGCCTTGGAGCAGTGGAACAGACCACTCTGACATTCTTTAGAAGTAAGATCGAGTTCAGCAGTTTACATCATAGCAACAGTTGATAAGAAAAACAGCAAAAAGGTAATCATTTCCATATGGAAAGAAGAGGAAGACACCAGTGAAGCTGTGAACTGTCATTTTTCCATACAAAAATAAAAGCCACTACTGGTAGACTTGACAAAAAGGGCAAATGTTCTATTTCTTTGCATTTTACATTCGTTAATATGTTGCATGTGATGCGTTTTATCAAAATACATCATTCCCCTCAAACCTAGCTGCCAACTTCCAAATGTGTTTGTCCTGAGTGAAACCCATCTTGGTGTGTGTTAATTTCATCAAGAACTCTATTGCCTTGGTGATAATTTTCTAAATTTGGTGCAAAATGTGAGCACTCTTACCCGCTTTATCTTCCATGCCAGTTAAACACCTATAAGTAAATCTATTTATTTAGACACAGGGTCTTGCTATGTAGCCCAGGCTGGCCTTGAACACACAGTGATCCTCCTGGCTCAGCCTCTGGAGTCCTGGGATTATAGGCATGCACCACCACGCCTGGTGTGTAAGTAATTTTAAAGCAATAGCTGCAGCATTCTAAAATCAAAATCAAAATCTAACATAATTTTCTCATGCCCAGAAAGGTTTATTGTTTCAGTACTGGGGATTGAGCCCAAGGCCTTTGTGCTGAGCTACATACATCCCCATCCCTTTTTAAATTTTTTTATTTTGGGACAGAGTCTTGCTGAGTGTCCAGGCTGGGCTCCAGTTTGAGATCTTCCTGTCTCACCCTCCCAGATTTGCTGGGATTGCAAGTATGCACCACCACACCCACCTCTGCAAGTTATTAAAAGCAAAACAAAATACACTTTTATTCATTTACTTTTGGATTTAAGCACCATAAACATTTATTACCAAAACCCCAATATTTATTTATTTATTCTGTATGAGGATCAAACCCTAGGGCCTCAAGTATGCTAGGAAAGTGCTCTACCACTGAACTATACCCCCTGTTCTGATCTATCCTTCTTTCTTTTTTTTTGAGACAGGGTCTTGCTGTGTAGTTCAGGGCCTTGAACTCACTATATAGCCCAGGCTGGCCTGGAACTCTCAGCCATCCTCCTGCCTCAGCATCCTGAGTACTGGGATTACAGGCATATTTTTTGTTTTTGGTGCCGGAGATCGAACTCAGGTCCTTGCACTTCCAGAGCAGGCGGCGAAACCACTGAGCTAAATCCCCGGCCTACAGGCATATTTTTAAACTGGAGGTTTTACTATGTTGCCCAGGCTGGTCTGGAGCTACTGAGTCCAAGTGCTCCTCCTCCATCCAAAGACAGCTAGGACTACAGGTATGCACTACTGTACAGGGGCCTGAGATTCATCTCTAAACCACATTGAGACAAAAATCTTAGCAGAACAGAACATTCAAAATAGACGTTCACACTGCAGCATTTGACAACATTGCCCTCTTGTGGTACAAAGCACTCATTTCAAAGATGAATATAAGGCCCCGGGATTTAGCTCAGTGGTTTCGCCGCCTGCTGTGCAAGCGCAAGGACCTGAGTTCAATCCCCGGTACCAAAAAAAAAAAAAAACCAACAAAGATGAATGTAAGTACAGAATCACAAATTCTTACCTTAGAATTGTGCTAAGAAAGTTTAGTTCATGTTTAGTGAATCGCTTTTGGAATAAAGAGAAGATTTAGGAACATGGGGACAAACAGAATATTCCCTTTCCTTGGATACTTCCAGAGTTCCAACATCTGAGCAATTCTGTGAACCTGGGGGTTGTGGCATGCACCCGTAATTCCAGCTATTCAGGAGGCTGAGGCAGGAGGATCATTTAAGCCTAGTGCATAGTTCAAGACCAACATGGGTAACGTGGTGAGACCCTATCTCCACAAAACAAAACAAAGGTCCTTACAGAAACACTTATGTTTTTTGAGACAGGGTCGCCCTATACAGTTCAGGCTGCTCTTGAACTATGTACCCCACATTGGCCTTGACCTTACGGTGATCCTCCTGCCTCGCCTCTCCAGTGCTGGGATTAGAGGCGTGCACCACCACACTCAGTCCTAGAAGCACAATTTTTCTTACAAATGACAAATCAAGTAGATGTTTCCATTGAAAACATACTCTTCTCCACACCTACAATTCCAGAAATTTAATGACTCACTGAGACCTTTTCTCAAAATAAGAGATGGGGATGTTGCACAGTGCAAATGCCCTGGGTTCAGTCAGAGTGCTGTACAAAAACAAAAAAACAAAACAGCCCTTTTTTTCTAAGTCATTAAATTACCTAGGTTGGGTTTGAACTCACAATCTTCCTGCTTCAGCCCCCAAAAGTGCTAAGATTACAAGCAGGTGCCACCACCTGGCTCAAAAAAAAGTTTTCTTTGTTTCTGTGAATACAGTATGCAGAATGGAATCAGCATTGTACTTTGTTACTTTAATAGAACTGATTTTAAAGTACTATTAAAAATATTGTAGGCCAGGGATTTAGCTCAGTGGTTCCGCCGCCTGCTGTGCAAGTGCAAGGACCTGAGTTCGATCCCCAGTACCAAAAAAAAACAAAAAACAAAATAAAATAACGATGAGGGACAAAAGATTAAATAGTGAACATTTATTTTAAAAAAAAAATTTTAGTTGGAAAATGCCTTAAGGTACTTTTCTTCTTTGTTCAAAATCAGAGGTTACGGTAACTAGCAACAACCTGTTCTAACAGTGTGAAACTGTCCAAAAAGCCTTCTTCTTCAATTCCAAATTTTGTGTACTGATGAACATAGGCTCTAGGGAAAAAAAAAAAAACCACAGAAAATGTAAAATAAACAATTTCAGGCAAATTAGTAACTTAAACTCAAGCAATAGGAGTGAGTGGAGGGAAGAGGAAGCAAAAAGGACCGAGATGGAGATGTGCATGTGCCAATACCCCACGGTGAATGTACTCATTATTACTGCAAATTTATACTAATAAAAAAGGGAAATGAAGCAATAAATAGACCTTTCCTAGCTCATGAACACTCAAACATCACAGAGTTTCATAGGAGTCTTATATTGGCTGGGCATGGAGGTGCACACCTATAATCCCAGCACTCAGGAGGCTGAGGCAGGAGGATTGCCATGAGTTCAAGGCCAGCCTGAACTACACAGCAAGACCCTGTCTCAAAAAACCAAAAACCAAAAACCAAAAAAAAAAAAAAAAAAGTCTTATATTGGACTGTTTACTGCAAAGACTAGTGAACCAACAGCTTAGGTCAAGTACCCTATCCTATGAGGGTCCAACAGAGTGACGGGAAGCAACAACACTTGGCTCCCACCCAGCACATACTCAGCACCCTGCAGACAGGGTGGCTCCCCCAGAAATGAAAACGCAGGCCGGGGTGCAGCTCGATGGCTGAGCATCCAGCTCGTGTGCGCGATGCCCTAGGTTCAGTTCCTGCCAACGTGGAGAGTGAGGCACAACACCCAGAACCCAACTCTACAAAGCGCCTGAGAGGTTCTTCTAAGGCTTGAGATTAGAAACACATCAGTCCAACTCCAGGAACTTAGTGAAGTCCCCCAGTGCTTTGCCGGCAACATTAGTTAACCTGTGATTACCCTAGGGTGGTCCTCTCCCTCCCGCCTGATACATCATGAATATCAAGGGCAGCCACGAACTAAACTGACAGTAATGGCTGCTCCCACCTAGTGACAGTGAAAAGAGAATGACAGCAGCAGAGGACAGTCACGGGCAGGAAGAGAGGAAGAGGAGGGCTGTGAATGACCGGCCACACAGGACTGGCCCTGGGGAACCCTGGCTAATCAAAGCAGAGCCCTTGTTCAGTCATTTGAGGAAATGGACTCTGACGGTAACTGTCAACTGGCAGAGGTCAAGAAAGAAGGCAGGTGCCGTGGAGCAGGCCTGTAATACCAGCACTCAGGAGGCTGAGGCAAGAGGATCAACATGAGTTCGAGACCAGCCTGGGCTACATTGTGAGACACAGTCTCAAAAAAAAGAAAAAGGGCCGGGGATTTAGCTCAGTGGTTCCACACCTGCCTCAAAAGCACAAGGACCCGAGTTCGATCCCTGGTTCTGGGGGTGGGGGTGGATAGCTGCTGAAACATTTCTTAGTATCAAGCAGATTTGAACATACTGTGTGTATTACTGAGGAAGATCAGAATCTCACTATGTAGCTCAGGCTGGCCTCAAATTCACAGTGATCCTTTTGCCTCAGTCTCTCGAGTGCTGGGGTTACAGGTGTGTGCCACCACGCCTGGCCCAGATCTTGTTTTTTATTATTTATTTATTTATTTATTTATTTTGGTACCAGGGATCGAACTCGGGACCTTGGGCTTTTGAGGCAGGCACCGGAACCACTGAGCTAAATCCCCGGCAGATCTTATTTTTTAAAACTATCTGACTGTCTCTGTCTTACAATAAAATTTCTACTTTAATTTTATCTGGTTTAGGAACTACTCATTTAGTCAACAACAATCGATATAATAATCGATATAACAATATCAGTGTGTCTCAGTGAATCCAGTCCCATGGTTTCTCAGGGAAGACCCACTGTACGGTTGAGGAAACACAGTCATCAGTCACCAGGCCCTGGCTTGCCACCTACGTCACGATTCACCACTGTTTTACCTGCCTACTGGAAGGCTCGTGGACTTATTTTTACTTACTTTGAAGCGAACATATTCCATGCTTTGCCCACAATTGTATCAAGCGGCTTCACGAAGAACTGGCTGTTGCTGACCAACGCTGCGGACTTCTCGTATCTGCTAAAGGCTCGCTGGGTTTTCCACACCGTGAAGGCCTCGTCAGGCCCTAACCAGGAAGTATAGAGGGCTGGGTCCTTAAAACCCTCTGGGGGAGGAACACAACAAGGGGCATTACTTACAGCAAATGTTATGAACTGTTAAGTAAGTAACAGATACTTTCTTGTCTGTTTCATCAGAAATCTCTTTATTCTGCCCTTTATTTTTGCGGTGCTGGTGGCTGACCCCAGGCCTTATACACCACAGGCAAGTGCTCTACAACTGAATTATAGCCCGGGCCCTATTTTTTCTTTTTCTTCTTCTTCCTTTTTTTGTAGTACTGGGGATTGAACCCAGGGCCTTCACACTAAACTACATATTTAGAGGCCACCAGTGTCAGCGTCCCTCGGGAGACTCCATTTGCTCGCGGTGCGGTCTGGCCGCCGTGCTGCCAGGCGGGGAGCGATGCCTGTGGCTGGCAGACCCACTTCCCCTACGCCCAGCGGCCACTCGCTGGCTGTCGGGCTGCGGAGGTGACACCCAGGTCGCTGGCATCCGGGCGGAACCCGGGCTCCCTCACGGGAGGAAAAGCAGCCCGCGCTCTGCAGCTCGCCTGGCGGGGAGGCCCTCGCTCGCTTATGCAGCTTCTCCCTGACCTCTTAATTTGAGGTTTCAGAGGCTCCAAGTACCTATATAGCCCCACAGGAACTACTTCTGTTAGACCCTGGACGATCAGCTTTCACCAAGATTATTGTAACATCTTCACCACGCCTTCACCCATAGGCTGCTCTACCTTGGGTCTGATTTCCATCAATGAAGTTTTTGGTGTTTTCTTTAATCATGTGACACCACCACTTGCCCACCTTTCTCCTTTCCAGTGGTCAGATCCATTAGGTGTAAGTTTGTGTTGAGTTCAAGTACAGAGATTCCTGCCTGTCCACTTTCACCTCCTTTGCACCTCTCACTTCTGTGCAGTTCACCTTAACTTGCTTGCTATGCTTTTCCTAAGCACTTTCCTGTGCAACCTGTACGGGTCCTTTGCTTAAGAGAGACAGCATTCATTACAGTTTACTGCCTGACAGAAACAACATTAGGAATAAGTTTTCTCACATTTTCCTGTATGTCAAGTTTGCAAGTCTTTTTCTTGACTTAAACTGTTTTTGTGCACATGTCCCAAAATACTCAACCTGAGTCTTAGTGGTTTTACAAAGAACCTTACCTGCACTAATGGCAGATTTGAGTATGCAGTAAGGACCCTTTCAGAGATCTTAGTAATGTAGTATTGGTTCAATTTTCAGCCTTTCATAAGATCGCAAGTTACGCAAACACTTTGTGAGGAAGAAAGAAAGATGGAGTTAACTGGAGCTATTCCTTATTGTAGGAACTGTAAGTTTTAAAGTCCAAGTGAAGAGACTCTTTTAGACTTTGTCTGGAAATTGGCCGTCACACTAGCTCCTAGGCCACAGACAAGTGATCTTACGATTCCATTTTCTGGTCTCTATGTTCAAATCTAAGTTGGTAATTATCTTGTTGTAGTAATCACCTGAAATATTAGATGCTTAAAATGTTGGGGAAACGTAAGCGTGTGGTATTGACGATTAAAGACAAACATTATTAGGAAACTTGAGGAAGGCATCTCTTTCAAAAAACTTTCTGTGGTGTATGGGATTGGTGAGTCCACAATTCGTGATATTAAAAAGAAGAAAGAATTATAAACTATGCAAACAGTTCGGATCCCACGAGTAGGGTGTCCAAACGTAAATCTATGAAGTCGTCAACCTATGAGGAACTTGATAGAGTGATGATAGAATGGTTTAACTAACAGAAGACAGATGGGGGTCCCAGTGTCTGGAACTATTTGTGCAAAACAAGCCAAGTTCTTTTTTGATGCTCTGGGGATGGAAGGTGATTTTAATGCGTCATCTGGCTGGCTAACTCGATTCAAACAGCGCCATGGTATCCCAAAGGCTGCTGGTAAAGGAACAAAATTAAAAGGAGATGAAATTGCTGCCAGTGAATTTTGTGGTAACTTTCAGGAATTTGTTGAGAGAGAGAATCTACAACCAGAGCAAATTTATGGTGCTGATCAAACTGGGTTGTTTTGGAAATGTCTACCATTGAGGACATTAGTTCTTGACACTGAGCGAAATACTTCAGAGTATAGGTTAAGCAGAGAATCATTATAATGTGTTGTGCAAATGCCACAGGCTTACACAAACTTAATCTTTGTGTTGTGGGGAAAGCAAAAAAACCCCATGCATTCAAAGGAACTGACCTTTCAAGTCTTCCTGTCACTTATTTCAGTCAAAAAGGTACATGGATAGAACAGTCTGTTTTCAGACAGTGGTTTGATAAATATTTTGTGCCACAGGTACAGAAGCGTTTGAGATCCAAGGGTCTTCTAGAAAAAGCAGTGCTTCTTTTAGAGTTCCCCCCAGCACATCCAAATGAAGAACTGTTGAGTTCAGATGATGGCAGAATAATTGTGAAGTATTTGCCAGCAAATGTTACAAGTCTAATTCAACCAATGAGCCAGGGAGTTTTAGCCACAGTAAAAAGATACTACCGAGCAAGACTTCTCCAGAAGTATTTGGATGAAGGAATTGACCCGAAAATGTTTTGGAAGAACTTGACAGTGTTGGATGCAATTTATGAGGTATCCAGGGCTTGGAACATGATAAAAGCAAGTACCATAACCAAAGCATGGAGAAAACTTTTCCCTGGCAATGGAGAAAATTCAGTTATGAACATTGATGAAGGAGCCATTTTAGCTGCTAATTTAGCAACAGTTTTACAGAATACAGAAGACTGTGAACACGTTGACATTGAGAATATTGATCAGTGGTTTGACTCTCGGAGTAATGACTCAAGCTGTCAGGTGCTGATGGATAGTGAAGGTGCTAAGGACTATGGCACAGCTGCTGAGCAGAAGCCTTTCAGTAAGACTAGAAAAGCAGAACTGAACCCTGAGAAGCATATTAGCCATAAAGGTGCAATTGAATGGACTGAAAATTTACTGAGTTATCTAGAACAACAAGATGACACGCTTCTGTCTGATAAATTGGTATTACGGAGGCTTCGGACCTTAATAAGAAAACAAAAGATCCAAAATAACAAAAATCATTCATAGTGCTCTCAAATATTTCAGTGTGTTTTCATCTTTGTGACTGTTTATCTGCAGTGGAACTTACCTTGTTTGAAGTGCTGTGGATTCTAAGGCCAAATACATTTTATAAATGATTTTAGGACTAGATGTAATTTTGGATCACTTGAATCACAGCTCTTTAATGTTGACGCTGGTAACTGAGCATTATCATGTAACTTGTCTACTGTTTTTAATCTGTATTATACTAACTAGATTATAAGATACCTAAGGCCAGAGATCTCTGTTTTGTGCCTGAATTTCAGTGTGTCTAATAAAAGTCCATGCACATTATAGACACTCAATAAATTTTACTTAAATTGAAAAAAAAACAAACAAACTACATATTTAGAGATAGGGTCTTGACAAGTCTCTAAGTTAACCAGGTTGGGCCCGAATTTGTGATCCCTCTGTCTCAGCCTCCAAGAGTGCTAGGACTGCAAGTGTACGCAACTATGCCCAACCTAGTTTGTCTTCTATATTGCTTTTAAATAAATGACCCATATTTGTGGTCTAAAAATAAGTAGTAATAATTCATACCATTCAGAAAGTAATAAGAAGAAAAGTATTAAGTCACCAGAACAGCTGAAATGCCACCACTCAGAGATAGACTGTGAACATTTATTTTGTGGATCCTGTTTATGTATGAAGTTTCCTAGTGTTGGGTACTGAGACTATTTCCACGTTGTGTTAGTGTGAAAGATGTTGCAATGAACATCTTTGCAAGAATACTTTGTGCAGGCCAGGGATGTAGCTCAACAGTACAAAGAAAAAAAAAACACCTTGTGTGTTTGTGTCATTTGCACTGCATACATTTTTGGAAGCTGGGTTACTTTATATATTGTTAAAAGAAATTGTTTAAAAAGCCGAGTGTGGTGGCACACACCTGCAGTCCCAGCTCTCAGGAGGCTGAGGCAGGAGGATCGCCATGAGTTTGAGACCAGCCTGGGCTACACAGTAAGTTCAAGGCCAGCCTGAACTATATAGCAAGACCCTATCTTTAAAAAACAAAAATAGGCAAGTGCAAGGACCCGAGTTCGATACCCGGTACCAAAAAACAAAAACAAAAACAAAAAACGAAAATAGGGCCAGGGATTTAGCTCAGTGGTTCTGCTGCCTGCCTTGCAGGTGCAAGGTCCCGAGTTCAATCCCTGGTACCAAAAAACCAAAAACTAAATAAATAACAGATAAAATTTTAAATATCTAAAATGGTGAGCTGTGGGTACAGCTCAGTGATAGAACACTTGCCCCTAACATCACACATACACACAAAAGAAAGACAACATAACATGAAATCTAAGGTGAAAGCCAGACATAGCGGTACATACCCGTACCTATAATCCCAACACTCTGGGAGGCTGAGGTGGGAGGATCACAAGTTCAAGCCCAGCCTGGAAAACTCAGTGATTTAGCTAGACCCAGTCTTACAATTAAATACTTTCAAAAGGGCTGGGGGTGCAGTTCAGTGTGAAAGCCCTGGGTTCAATCCCCAATACAGGGCGGGCGGTGGGTGGGGGTGGGGGTGGATTTAAAGTGAAGAACTATGAAAAGAGTTTAACATCAATTTGGCTTGAAATGATCTATTTTTAATTATTAGGGTTTTTTCTTAGGGGTGTTACAAGATATAGATAGTTTTTTATTCCACAGCAAGAAGTAGCAGATTAAAAAAAAAAAAGAAGTAGCAGATTTGATACTGCTGAAGTCATCAGGTAAGGATAAATTATAAATGTAGGGAGCAGCCATAGAAAAACAGCTGATAAGAATACTGTTCTGCCAGGAGTGGTAATGCACACCTGTAATCCCAGCACTCAGGAGGCTGAGGCAGGAGGATAACTGTGAGTTCGAGGCCAGCCTGGGCTACATAGTGAGCTCAAGGTCAGCCTGAACTACACAACAAGACCCTGTCTCAAAAAAAGGAAAAAAAAAGAATACTGCTGTTCCACCTTCCTGTGCATGTCACAGAGACCACTGCTTGTCTAGCAATCCCCGTTCTCCCCTTTTTCCTTTAGTAACAGGACCCCCCAGTTGCTCTGCAGTGGTCGGGATCGAACCCAGGGTACATGCTAGGCAAACCACCCCTGAGCTGCACCCAGCTCTGTGACGCTGCCTTTTAACTACACTCACAGCCACCGGTAGAGAGGCACACGACTCAGTCCCAGCTAACGGGGGAAGAAATGTAACTGCCATGCAGCTCTGGGAGTGAGTCCTTGCATATTCCTATGGGATTTCTTCTTTGTTGTTGCTAAGGATGGAACCCAGAACCTGGAAGCACTCTGCCACTGAGCTACACTTCTAGCACTTTTACTTATTCTGTTGTTTTTTTTGAGACAAAGTTTCACTATATTGCCAGGCTGGTCTTCAGCTCCCAGGATCTTTCTGCCTCAGCCTCTGGAGGGCTGTATCCCAGGTACGCCCACCATGCTGGCTCAGTCCTGTGTGATTCGATAGCTGGAACCAAGACACCAAGAAGGTGTCTTGGGCTCTAAGAAAGAAGCCACAAGGTAAGGACAACAGAACAACCAGATGTTTAGAAGAAAGAGTTAAACTTTTTATCTGTTTAAGCCACTTCTATTTTGGTGTCCAGACACATAGAAACTGATACAATGGTTACACTTTGCCACCAAAACATATAATTATTACCTTCCTTTCTCTAAGAATAAATACAGGGACTCTTTTTGGAGACAGGGTCTCACTCAGTTGCTAAATTGCTCAGTCTGGGCTTGAACCTTTGACCCTCAGTCTCTCAAAGTGACGGGATTACAGATGTGTGACACCACAATCTGGCTAAGGGATGTCAATGTGCACACGTGTAAAATATAATCTTAATCTTCACCTTAATGTCTGCTTACCCAGATTTGCATTCTGCACATCTTTCCCACGAAGGATGACCAAGTTAGCAAGGGAAGTGTTAAAATGCTGCTCCCTGTTTTGAGACATTTTGCCAAGAGGTGGAAGTCCTGGTAAAGGAGGCCGCACTTGCCAATCAATACCTATCACAAGGCAAAAAAAAAAGGCAAAAGGAAAATTATTCCTAGGCCTCACATTTAATCAAGAAACTGCCAGGAGGGCTGGGATGTAGCTCAGTGGCTCCACACCTGCCTTGCAAGTGCAAGGTCCTAAGTTTGATCCCTGGTGCCACCAAAAAGGAAGAAAGAAGGAAGAAAGAAGGAAGGAAGGAAGGAAGGAGGAAAGGAAGGAAGAAAGAAAAGAAAGAAAAGGAAAGAAAAATGAAAGAAAGGAAAGGAAGGAAGGAACGAACGAACTGCCAGCAGGATGTGAGGGCGATCTGGCTGCGATGTCTGTCACCTCACTGATCACCAGAGTTGATTTGGCTGATCTGGCTCTGAGGTGGGTGTCCCCTTCCTCCCTCATCACTCCATGTGCGTCCCTCCCAAACCTGTGCACTCGAAGAGGACGACCACCCCCGATAGAGAAGGACCATTTCCTTGGTCAAGGGTATACGAGTAGCTGTGATTCCCTGGTAGAACCTCTGAACAAGCTCTCAAAAGACTGCCAGCATGTAGAGGGCCAATGTGTTGGGAACCAGTGGCTCCCGTGTGCCTTCTGTTTTTCCCTTTTGAAAAGAAGAGTTGGCCACTTATCCCAGGCCTACTGCACTAGAGTTTGTTGAGTATACCAGAGGCAAGGAACTGTACTCAAGAAACTTCCCCTGAGGAAGATAAATCAACATTCTGGAACATTCTGGAATGAGGCTGATCCACTAATGGGATGTAACTCTGGGGGCTCAGGAGGGGTGTGTCTCATGTGTGTGGAGAACAGGAATCATTAAGAGACAAGGGGTAGAGAATAAAACCAGCCTCAAGACGAACCCCAGGGATCTGAGCCTACTGGGACTGAGGCCCTTGGAAAGCCCCCTCTCACACTGGACAGGGTTGACCTTAACAACCAAAAGGACGGGGCAGAAGGAGGGTGTGTGACTCTGAAGCTTGGTCATCAAAGTAATTTCTTTCTGCCTTAACTCCTTCTTGGATAACTCCCCCCTCCCACCCCACCCAGTGCTAGGATACCTCAACTGGGAACAAATACACTGCTGATGGGCATAGAAATGGGGCCAATCTTGGTACAAACACCCAAAGATAAATGTAAACATATTTTATACCTAAAATGTACCAATAAATATATATATTAAAAAAAAAGAAATAGGGCCAATCTTTATACAGAGAAGCCTTATATAAACAGTTATAAAACTAGATCCTGCGCCAGGCCTATAATCCCAGCACTCAGGAGGCTGAGGCAGGAGGATTGCTGCAAGTTCAAGGCCAGCCTGCGCTATATAGTGAGTTCAAGGCCAGTTTAAACTACATAAGAGACCCTGCCTCAGAAAACCAAACCAAACCAAAAAAACCCCCTAGATCCTGCCACATGGCTTGTGCCATAAATATATTTATTCACATACATTTATATCTATCCAAAAAATGAAAACATTCAGCAGCTGGGATTGTAGATCAGTGGTAAAACACTTGGCTGAGGTCTTGGGTTCAATCTCCAGTACTACTAAATTTTTAAAAATTTATTTCTTTGCGGTACTAGGACTAAACATAGGCCCTTTGCACAGAGCTATCTCTCCAGCCCTTTTTTATTTTGTTTGTTTTTTGTTTTGTTTTGTTTTGCAGTACCGGGAAAGGAACTCGGGACCTTGCGGTTTCAAGGCAGGTGCAGCGCCACTGAGCTAAATCCCTGGCCCTCTTCTTTATTTTTTGAGACAGGATATCATTAAGTTGTACAGCCTGGGCTCAAACACGCAAATCCTCTTGCCTTGGCCTCCCCAAGAGCTGGGATGACAGGCATGTACCACCACTCCTGGCTAAAAGAAAGGAATTTCTATGTTCAAATTCTATCCACACCACATTCTGAAAAAATGTTATCCCAAAGTCCTGCCCTGGAAGATGACTCAGCAAACTGTGGTTATTGACTTATAAACCTTATAACAGAATGTCTCACACTCCCCGAGGAGCACTGGATTCCTAGAGATATTAACAGGTGCTGTTAGAAAAACAAGTATTATGGCCAAAAGCATTCAGGAGCCACTACTTTATGATGTAAACTTTCCTCTTCTCTCCAAACTTCTGGCACCACAATCTAAAATCATTTCGGGCTGGTCATGGTGGTGCACACTTATAATCCCAGCATTTGGGTGGCTGAGGCAGGAGGATTGCTGTGAGTTTGAGGCCAGCGTGGGCTACATAGTGAATTCAGAAAAGTTTTGGGATAGATTAGTGATAGGTAAAGGGAACAGTGACCAAATGAGTATGAATATTAACAACTCTAAGAGGAAAAAAATCATACATAAAACTAGATATACAGTAATCTGTGTACATAGTACATGGCTCAACTGTGAATAATATTTACATAGTGAAAGTAATAAAAATGCTGAAAACTGATCTAACCTCAAAGTACGTTACAACTAAATTGAGAGAAAGGGGACAAATGTGAGTGTGTGTGTGTGTGTGTGTGTGTGTGTAGAGGGGTATAAGAAGACTCCACCATTAGATTTCCCATTAGGAAGGCAATGGATAATTGCTAAGACTGGAAAATAAAACAAGAAGAGTAGACGCAAGATATTTTAGATCTATGAGTGCGGATTCTAGAAGAAACAGCTAAAGCACTTAAAGTAGTTTCATCTGTGCGAGGAAGTGTAGAGTAGGAGATAGCTGTTCTTGTTATAAATTCATATTGAACAATTACTTCACTTTGAAAAATTGAAATGTAACTTACATATAGTACAATGTATATAATTAAATATACACTTCAGTATGTTTTTCTCTCTCTCTACTTTTTAATTTTATTTATTTATTTTTTGTACCGGGGATCGAACTTGGGACCTTGCACTTGCGAGGCAGGCAGCAGAACCACTGAGCTAAATGCCCAGCCCATTCTCTTAACGTTTTGTAGTGCTGGGGATCGAATCGAACCCAGGTCTTTGTGGACGCAAAGCACATGCTCCACAATTGAGATTCTGACATACCTTAGTCCTCACCCTTATATGAGTTTTAACTATGTGGTTTAAAAAACTATGTTTATAGGAGGGCATGGTGGTTCAGACCTATAATCAGGGATACTCAGAAAGCTGAAGCATAAGGATTGCAAGTGTGATGCCAGCCCACGCAGTTCAGTGAGACTTTGTCTCTAAAAACCCAAAGCGTGGGGTTGTAGCCCATTGGTAGAACCCTTGCCTAATGAGGCCCTGGGTTCCTCTCCAGTACCACGAACAACAACAACAAAGTAAATCTATGTTTACATATTACTTTGGTTAAAATACAGTAAAGCTTTGAAAAACATATGGCCCTCCTCTGAAATGTTCTTTGGTAATGAAGCTGTGATGTGACTAAGAGGCCCTCCTGTGGTGTCCTGGCCAAGTCCTGCAGGAGCCCCCTGGCCAGAAGAAGGTGCCTTTATTTCAACTGGCCCAAGCCAGTCTATCCTCAGACTCAGGCCAGGTACTTTTCCCAGCTTGTGGGCTGCATATTTTTAAAGAACCTTTTACCTTCTTCCATTTTTGCATTAGAAATGAGCATCTGTCTCAAATGCTTCAGGAGGCCAGCCCAAGTAAATGTGCTGTATGGCAGTGAATTCTCAGACATCTGAGGAATGTTACGAACACCCAGCATCTTGAATTCAGGATGTGGAACTAAATTCTCCATTAAGTCTCCTGTAAAGAAGAAAGAAAAAGATCTGAACTAACATGTCTTTATTCCACACTGTTGCCGCTGGCCTATATGGAATCATGATTTCATGGTTTTCTGGGTCAAATGTGTTTCCTCCAAAGCCAGAACTGCTTAAAACTTCAAAACAATAAAATTTCAGGGATAATGTCTATTTCAGACTACCCCCTTTGCTTTGTTTTAGCACCCATTTTAGCATGGATGAAAAAACACACTTTGCAGGCAGGGTGGGGTAGCTCAGTGATGGAGCATTTGCCTAGCATGTGCAAGGTCCTGTGTTTGATCCCTAGCACACGAGAAAAAAAAGCAAGCATGCAAGCAAGCAAACAAAGCCAAGCATAGTGGCACATGCCTGGAATCCTAGAGACTGTTGAGGCAGAGGCAGGAGGATTGCAAGTCCCAGGTAAGCATAGGTCACTTAGCAAGACCCTCTCTGAAAATAAAAAATAAAAACGGCTGTGGATAAAGCTCAGAGATCCCTGAGTTCAATCCCCAGTAGTGCTAAAAACAAATCAAAACAACCTAAAACTACTTCAGCAAAAAGGAAAGAAAAACTCAGAAGCTGACTAACTGGAAATGTGAACAAACATTTAGCCAAATTCCAGGAAAACAAAGAAAGCATAAGAGCTACTATGCTTTCATGTCATTCTGTGTTTATTAAATGTTCTCTGAGAAAATGTTCTCAATTTCTTATCTGGTTATATGATATTTTTGTCTTCTCAATCCACCCATCATCTTCTTTCTGGCAAAGTCCCAGGCATTGATTAGCCCGCTTCTTACCTTCTCCCTCGGAGTATGATCACAGATCACAGGAATACCCCACTGGCAGGCTGGCTTCTCAGTCCTCCACATTAATGTCTTAGGCCCCTACAACTTCTGGCAACTCTAGATCCATTTACTCTCTACCCAACGAAGATTTCACCGAGTGGTTACTATTTACCATGCACTGTCCAAGGCACTAGGACAAGAGTGATAAACAAACTAGACAAAACTTTTGGTCCTTAACCAAGTGTAGTGGTTCATGCCTCTAATCCAGCACTCTGGGAGGCCAAGTTAGGAGGATTGAGAGTTCTAGCCCAGCCTGGGCAACTCAGTGACTTAGTGAAACCCTGTCTCAAAATAAAAAATAAAATGGGATTTTGGAAGCTTCTGCTGAGTAACACCAGCCAACCCTGGCGTGCTCCTCACCACTCCTCTCAAAGGCAGGAGATCAGGTAGATGAGGAATAAACAACATACACTGAAGATAGACAGCCGGCATCACAGGCTGTATGGACTGTTGATAAGAATCTGTGGAATTTTGCTCAAGGGACAGAGTCACTTCAGTGTCTCCTGGGGCAGAGAACAGATCCTCTTTTATTGCCAGTTCAGGGAGTCCAGAGGATCAAAGGAATCTCACTCAGCTTCCCACAAATGACCCAGTAGGAATCAATTGATAGGACCAGAAATAAATTAATGGTGCATGAGATTTCAAATCCTACTTTTTGCATAACCTCAGGCTGTTATTTATACAGAAGAGGAAGAAATCTTACAAGTGTCTCTACATAGTAAATCTAGAATCAGTAGGGATACAAGAGCAGTCAACAAAACTACACTATCTCTTCCATGATGATTCTATCTAACCATTGCTTTTGTCATCATAAATACTGAGTTTTGGTTGGAAGGCTGATAAATCTCCAAAAGCTCCCAAGCTACATAATGAGATGGCCACATTTTAATGAAGATTTTGAGTACAGTAGCTAAACTGAGTTCCATAAGGAGTCAAAGATCACAGTACAGGTTCTAGAAAAATGATAATAATTATTTGAGATATAAATACTGCATTTTACTTGGGAGTCAAAGAGATAACGATAAATGTCTTCAAAGTTTTAAAGTAGTGTTATAGAGAAGAGTCAGGATGAAGCTCTAGTTTACTCTAGAGAAGTTTTTGCTAACCCTGGCTCAGAACAACAGTTAGCTAAGGAGCTCATAAAAAGGCCCATACCTGGGCCCAGTCCTAGAGAGTTGTATTCAAGAGGTTCCTGGTATTTTGTAAGGTGATCTAGATTTAAGCTAAGGTTGATAGCTAGTGTACAAGAGAGAAGGTAGTGGATCAATAGTTAACAGTAATAGTGAGGTCAACTTCACTCATCCCAAGATTGAAATAAAATTTAACAATGATTCTAAACACCTAAGAAAGGCACAGGAATAATCATTTGAATACAGCATAATCCTTCACAGTCTTTATCCATTAAGATATACTCAAACTATATTATTTATACGAATCTTTAATACAAGGCATATTGTCATAATAACTGTGCTGTTTTGGTCAATGGATATCACATGATACAATGAACAAAGAAGAAATCACAAGAATATTTAAATAAATTTGAAATATTATAAGATAGTTAAGCAGGGTTAATATTTGTAAAAATATAGAAGAATGAAATAATGTAAACAAGCAATAATGCAAAAGTTTATCTCAAGAAGCAGGGTGTGCTCTACTAATAAAAATAATTTAAAAATGAAAAACTTAAATGGTATGGTGATGTAGCTCAGTGTGAAGATCCTGAGCTCAATCTCAGGACTGAAAAAAAAAATGTAGTCTTAACCAGGTGTGGTGGTGCCTATCTATAGTCCCAGCTACTTGGGAGGCTGAGGCAGCAAGATCACTCAAGGTGAGTTCTAGGCCAGCCTGGGCAACAGAGCAAGACTCAATTTAAAAAAGAAAGAAAGAAAAGAGAAGTAGGAGGAGAAGGGAAAGGAGGGGAGGAAGAAGAAGCTGGTCATAATAGAATATGCCTGTAATCCCAGCACATGGGAGGCTGAGGCCGGAGGGTTACAAGTTTTAGGACAACCTGGATTATGTAGTGAGACCCTGTCTTTAAAAACAACAACAAAGGGCCAGGGATTTAGTTGTGGTTTCACTACCTGCTGCACAAGAACAAGCGCAAGGACCCGAGTTCAATCCCTGGCACTAAAAAATTTAAAAAAAAAAACAAAAACTGGGACAGGCAACTATTTGAGAAACAGATTGGAAATGGGGATAAAGATTACAGAGTCAATTGCACTTAGACAATGAGAATTGATAAGCCATCACTTAACAAGGGGTGATGAAGAATGGCAGAAATGTATGTTTCAGAGGCAAAAGAAAGTAAAATTGGTCAGGAAATATAAGACAGAGTAGTTAGGAAGGAGAAGAAGCGGGACAGTGAAGTCTTTAGGCTGACAAATACGGGAGCTGTCTACTATAAAATTCTGTTAAATATTCAGGCTACCAAGTCTCCTGGTCTTGGGGACTAGACAGCCATAGCTAAGAGACAGAAAGGAAAGGAGGAAGAGGGAAGGGAGTCCAGTACCAAGGATTAAAAATGGAAAAAAATCTCATCTAAAAAGTGAAAAAAAACCCCACAAAATGAAAGACAATTTTTGCAAGTCAGATACCTGATAAGGGACTTATATCCAACATATACAAAGAAATGAGACAACTTGGGCCAGGGATTTAGCTCAGTGGTGCTGCGCCTGCCTCACAAGCACAAGGTACTGAGTTCAATCTCCAGTACCAAAAAAAAAAAAGAACTGACAACTCAAATAACAAAAGAACACAATTTCTAAAAATGGGCAGGGTTGGGAATAGAGCTTAGTGGTAGAGCTCTGGCATAGCATGTGCAAGGCTCTGGGTCTAATCCCCAGCACTGCAAAAAAAATAAATAAATTAAATAAAGGCAAAGAATCTGAATAGACATTTCTCCAAAGAACATAAGTGACCCAAATGGTCAAAAAACAACTGGAAAAAATATGCAACATTATTAGCCATGAGAGAGAGGCAAATTGAAATCACAAAGAGATAAAAATTCACGCCCTTTAGAATGGCTATAACAAGACATAACAAGGTGTGGATGTGGAGAAACTGGAACCCTCATACACTGCTGTTGGGACTGTAAAATGGCACACTCACTTTGGAAAAGTTTTGAAAAGTTTGACAGTTGCGCAAACATTTTTGTTTTACCACTGAGCTACATCTTCAGCCCTTTTTATTTTTTTATTTTGACATGAAGTTATTGCTAAGTTCCCCTGGATGGCCTCAAACTTTCGATCCTCTTGGCTCAGCCTCCCAAGTAGCTAAGTAGGATTACAGGTGTGTGCCATACCCACCTACCTATGACCTGGAAATTCTACTTCTAGATGTATATGCCAGAGAAATAAAGACACAGCCACACAAAAATGTGTGCACCACTGTAAACAGTATTATTCCTCATGGCCAAAAAGGTGTCCATCAGCTCGTGAATGAATAAACAAAATGTGATTTATCATATAATGGAACATTAAACAGCAATCAAAAGGAATGAAAGTACTAACACATACTGTAATCTGGGTGAACCTTGAGCACATTGTGTAAAGTGAAAAAAGCCAGGCACAAAAGGTTGTATATTGTATAATTCCGTTTATATGAAATGCCCAGAACAGGTAAGTCCATAGAGATAAAAAGACTGGTGAAACAGGCATGGTGCTACACACCATTCATCATCCCAGGTAGTTGGGAGGCTGAGACAAGAAGATCACAAGTTAGAGATGAGTTTGGATAAATCAATGAGACCTCATCTCAATATAAATTTTTTTGTTTTGGTACCGGGGATCGAACTTGGGACCTTGTGCTTGCAAGGCAGGTGGCAGAACCACTGAACTAAATCCCCAGCCCTTCAAAATAAAATTTAAAAAGGAGTTAAAAGAAACAAAAAGGGGGGGGGGTAGGTATGTAGGTCAGTGATAAAATACTTGTCTAGTATAAGTAAGGCCCTGAGTTCAAGCCCCAGTATTGGTAAAAAAAAAAAAAAGAGAGAAAGAGAGAAAGGAGATTGGTGGCTGACTAGCACTGAAGTTGCTAGGGGAAAAAGGAAATAATTAATGGTTGCTAATAGGTACAGGTACCAGGTTTTTCTGCGATGACTGTGTGTATGACTTATGAATATGCTAAAAAACAATGAATTGTACAACTTAAAAGGCTGAACTGTATGGTATGTAAATTGTATTCCAATAAAGTGGCTATTAAAAAAGAAAAAAGACATTAGGGATGTAGCTCAGTGGTACAGCATCTACCTACCAGGGGTAAGGGCCTGCATTTGGTCCCTATTTCTGCAAATAAATAAGAAAGAAAAAAAAATCAATCCTGAATGATATGTCAATGGGTTGTATATACTACTCTTTTTTTGTGTGTGTACACTACTCTTTTGAGCAATTTAGCAACTTCTCAAGACTTTGCAGTAAAACAGAGATATAAGCAGGTCTGAAGGAAGGTTTGGTTTGGTTTTTACAGTATTAGGGATTGAATACAGGGCCTTTGCACTACCTCAAAAAAAAAAAAAAATGAAAAAAGCGTTGGGATGTAGCTCAGTGGTATACAACCACATTAGCTTGCCAGGTGTGGTGGCGCATGGCTGTAATTCCAGCACTCAGGAGGCTGAGGCAGGAGGACTGCTGCAAATTCAAGGCCAGCCTGAACTACCTAATGAGATCCCATCTCAAAAACAAAAAAGCCAATCACACCAGCTTGAAGGAAGGTTTCTCAGATGTGGGAGAATTGAAGGGAGGAGACAGTAAGAGTAATTTTGAAGCTGTCAGAACATTAGACTTAAAAAAAAAAAAAAAAGAACATGAGCTTTTCCAATAAATAACATAAGGAGACCAATACCTAGTGGATTTCTTCTGTAGTGAAATGAGCCTTCCACAGAATAAGTAGGCTGGAACACACTTCCCAGCTGATGTGCCAGGACTTGATTTATATCACCAAAGGAGATTTGCTTAATATTCATCAGTTTTGCACAGATTTTATGGATTGTATCATTCTCATGAATAAGGAGAGCATCTGAAGATCGGTACAAGTGAGAGAGTGTCAAAATGGAGTTGTAGTTCTGAACAATAACCTAGAGAGGAAAAGGCCAGAAATGAGGCAGGAGGGAATAGTGGTTAACAGCATTCATTCTAAATTGGGCATGACGACTGTAATCCCAGTTACTTGTGAGGCTCAAAAAAGAGGATCCCAAATTTAAGTTCAGTCTAGGTAATTTACAAAGACTCTGTCTCAAAATAAAATTTGAAAAAAGGGTTGAGGATGTAGCTCAGTGCTTGCCTAGCATGCACGAGGCCCTGGGTTCAATCCCCAGTATCCAAGAGAGAAAACTCTAGATTTTTTTTTTTAAGAAGTCTTATTTGCTTTTAATATAATATGAAAATTTTAGATTCTTAAGGCATCTAGGTTCAAGATGCTTTAGGTTCAAGTCCTGGCTCTGTTACTTTCCAGCTGAATGACTTCAGGCAAATTATTTAATCTCTCTATGCCTCAGTTTTCTCATTTGTAAAATGGGGGTAATAATTATGCCAGCCTCCTACAGTCGTAAAGATTAGTGATATTAGAGAATGCCTAGCAGACAAACATTGGCTATTACTACCACACTTCCTTCCTACATCATTTCCTATAATGACTTGTCTCATCTCTTTTTTCCTTAAATATATATATATTTTTTTCTTTTTCTTTTTTTTTCTTGGAGACAGAGTCTTACTATGCAGTTCAGGTAGGCCTCAAACTCATGGTAATCCTCCTGCCTCAGCCTCCCAAATGCTGGGATTACAGGCGTGCACCACCACACCAGGCTGATATTTATTTTCTCTCTCTCCTCCCCCCCTTTCTTCCCTCTTTCCTTTCCTCCTGATGCTCATTCCTTCCTTCTTTTCCTCCCTCCCTCCCTCTCTTTTTCTTTCTTTTTTCTTCCTAGTACTAGGGATTGAACCCAGGGAGCACTTAATTACACTGTCAGCACTCTTTGGTTGTTTTTTTAATTTTGAGACAAAGTTTTGCTAAACTGCCCAGGGCGGCCTCAAACTTGTTCTCTTCCTGTCTCAGCCTCCCAAGCAGCTTAGATTAGAGGTGTGTGCCACTATGCCCAGCTTCATCTTTGGAATTTTAAAAAACAGGACAGACACTTCATATGTTTGGAAAAATTTAAGCAAAATTAGATGAATTATTCATGAAAGTATCACATTTACAATCTTTCCTAAAGATATAATTTAACATTTCCAAAGAAATGATCAGATCCAGCTTTATTCCCATTCATCTCAACTGAAAAGAAAACAGATTGTTAATTAATATGCTCATACCTCACCAGTTCCATAGGGCCATATAATCTGATTCATTTTCAAAGCGTTTGAATAGTGATCGTGTAGATGCTGTGTAAGGAAGGCTCCCAGCCCTGATCCTGTGCCCCCGGCTATACTCATTATGATGAAAAAACCATTCAAAGAGTCACATTTCTCCACTTCCTTCTGGATTAGGTTCATAATGGAGTCTTCATGCTTGGGTCCATGAACAGAGTAACTATGTAACGGTAAAAGAAACAAACACAAACACCTTTCAATTTAACCAGAGAGATGTGACGCAGAGGTCAAAGACTCAGGCTAGAAAGATCTTTCTAAAGCTATGGAAGTGAACTAACACTCATGAAAGGTACAGGTGCCCTGATTGACCACATTTAAAATGTACCAGTTAAATAAATTTAGCAGGTGAAATGGACCAATTGAAGAGTGGAGTGAATTTATAGGATCCAGAAGTCCTTTTTTTATAGGCTATACCTTTATTTATTTATTTTTTATTTTTGGTACGGGGGATTGAACTTTGGACCTTGTACTTGAGAAGCAGGCAGCAGCACCACTGAGCTAAACGCCCCCCCCCTTTTTTTGTGGTACTGGGGATTGAATTCAAGGCCTTTTTACTTTCCCCTTCCCTCCCTTCACCCCCTTCACCCTTCCCTGTTTACATAAGCTTTGTTTCCACTCTTTCCTTCTTTTTCTCATTTTTCCTTTCCCTTCTTTCCTAGAAATTTCAATATTATATTCTCAGTCTATCAACTATGTAGTTGTAACTACACTGTCTACTAATTGGTTGTGCCAGTGTAACGAAACTAAAAATCATGAGGAATTATTTTTACCCATATGCCCAGTTGTTTCCAGAACCCTGCTTCTGACAGAAGCATGCATGCTGACTGTACTTCCACTGGCCAGACTGGGCAGCCTTTGACAGCACGTGATTGATAACTTTAGGTTCCATGTCAACAAGCACGGCCCGGGCAATTGGAACTAGAGAGGGAAAGTACAATAAAAAAATATCATGTCATATTAAGGTATCTTGGAGCATAAACTTCTAGATCACCTAGCTATATTCCCAGCCCTAAGTTCAGGAAAAAAAGTAAGGAGTTGGGGAAAATACTATCATATTGCTTAGGAATGCTGCAGCTGCAGGGAAAGGCAGATATTCGTACAGTCCAGGATTCTGCTAAGCACCCCATGCTAATATGGTCACTTGGTTCAGCTCTAAAGACATCTGTGGGGTGCTTACCATGTGCCATGTTCTGTGCTGGGAATAGAGAGATGAAGGCAACCTCAAGGACTGGTGAGAGAAATAAAACATGTTGACCTGCATCTCTTTGTGGTGGCACACACCTGTGATCCTAGCTATTTGGATGGCTGGCTGAGGCAGAAGGATCACATGTTCAAGGCCACCCTGGGCAACTTAGTGGGACCCTGTCTCAAAATTAAATAAAAAGGGGATGGGTATGTAGTTCAGTGGTAGAGTACTCCTGGGCTCAATCCAGTACTGCCAAACAGATAAACAAACAACAAAAACAAAGCACATCAACACTTAATCATAGTGCAATATATGCCCCACAACAAATCCATACCAAAGAAGCAGCATATTCAGAGGTACAAAATATCATGGGCACAACATACAGCTCAGAATTATCAAAGCAAAACAAAATAATAGAGCAGAGGAGATAGATGTCAGATGGAGAGGACAGGGTAGAAGCGATGGATGGAAATGGAAAGAAGGCATAACTCTGATCTTGGAAATCCTTGTAGGCAATGCTAAAGTGCCTGAACTTTACCTTTTAGGCATTGATAAAGCACTGAAAAATTTCAAACAGTGGAGGAAGAGTCGGACGTCTATTTAAAAAAAAATTTGGAGGGGTTGGGGATTTAGCTCAGTGGCAGTCGTCCCTGCCTTGCAAGCATAAGGTCCTGAGTTCAATCCCCCATACCAAAAAAAAAATTTTTTAAATCAAAGAGAAACCTTTATTTTCAACAACTATGCCTACAAGAGATGGTTCACTGATCTACTATAAACAAGTCTCTCTTCATACACAGCACCAAAGTATACATTTAAAAAATTAAGCTGGGGATTTAGCTCTGTGGCCCCCCACCCACCTCACAAGTACAAGGTCCTGAGTTTGATCCCTGGTACCAAAAAAAAAAATTAAAAACCACACAGCCCAATCCACATAACTCGGACCATGGATTTTTTTTTTTTTTTTTTTTTTTGGTACAGGGCATCAAACTCAGGACCTTGCTCTTGCAAGGCAGGGGGCGGAACCACTAAGCTAAATCCCCGGCTCTGGATGTCTTTTTTTAAAAATACAGCAGTGAGGAGGACAGATGAGATGCACATGAGATTCCAGGCAGGGAAACCCCAGGTGTGTGGAAACAGTGCAGGTAAGAGTCAGATCTAAGGCAGTGACAGTGAAGGTGGGGAGGGCAGAACTGTTTCAAGAGATATAGAGGGCTGAAAATGAGCAGATCTTGAGCACAAGTTTTAAAGAAAAGATAATGAAGGGCTGAGGATTTAGCTCAGTGGTTCTGCTGCCTCGAAAGTATAAGGTCCTAAGTTCAATCCCCGGTACCAAAGAAAAGAAAAGATAACGAAAACCTTGCGTATGGAGACAGGAATTTGAGAATCAAATGGGAGTGAAGGTGGAGATGTTTACTAATCAGTCTACAGCTTAGAAGAAAGACTGTGCTAAAGGTATGAGAGTCACTGATGTGAAAAGATACAGCACAATATAAGTGACTGAAATTGCCCACAGAGAACTATACCTGAGATGCAAGTATCGGATAGAAAAGTTCCGAGCCAAAGGAGGATTCAGCTTAATAGTTAATGTTATCAAACCCAGTAATGCAGTTAAGTGAAGAAAAGAAAAGCATGGTAATTAGGAGGTTTTGGAAACATTTCTTAGTGCAGCTTCAGTGGCACTGTGAGGCAGAAGCAGGATTATAGCTGGTTAAACAGGGTTCTCCTTTGAGAATCTTTGTTGAAAAGGCAAAAACAATAAGTAAGAAGATAGGCTGGAGGGCCGGGGATTTAGCTCAGTGGTTTCGCCACCTGCTGTGCAAGCACAAGGACCGGAGTTCAATCCACAGCACCAAAAAAAAAAAAAAAAAGAAGAAGAAGATAGGCTGGGGGTGTAGCTCAGTAGTAGAATATTTGCCTAGCATTCATGAGGCCCTGGGTTGATTCCTCAGTACTACCAAAAACAACAACAAAAAGCTATAATCAAGAGATAAGTTTTGGTTGACTGATTATATTTATTTATTTATTTTTATGGTGCTAGGACTCAAACCCAGGGCCTACTGGGCATACTGGGCATGCGTTCTACACTAAGCTACATCCTAGTCCATTTCGTTGGTTGGTGAGATCTAGGCATGCTTATGTGCTGGGGGAAAACGCCCCTAGAAAAGCTAAGGTTGTTAACATAGAAACAGAGCGCCAAGTAAGTGCAAAGTCATTTCCCAGAGAGATGGGAAGGGATGGGGTTCAGACACTTGTGGAAGGTCAGACCTTGAAGAGGTTTGTGTCAGAGTAAAGGAGAGGACTGTGGACCGTACTTACCTCCTTTTTCCTCCCTGAAGAATCTTTCTTTGCAAGACGCTTGATATGCTTCATTCTCTCTCTTAGAGCACAATCCCTGGGAACTCTGTGAGTCAGTAAACAAAGCGTTGAACACTTCAAAGCCAATCTGGTTGCCACACTGACCAAGCTGCACTGTTACTATTGACATACTAAGCCACACAGTAGGGCTGTTCCTTCAAAAGGTGAGCAACTGGCCAGGGATTTAGCTCCGTGGTTTCCCCACCTGCTGCACACACGCAAGGACCCGAGTTCGATTCCTGGTACCAAAAAAAAAAGTCAGCAACCTGTAATAGAAAAAATGCAGGCTTTGAGAACCACCACATTAAGAATGAGAAAAAGATGCTGTATTATACATCAGTAAAAAGTAATTTTAAAATGCCATGTATGTATACGGTATTATAAATGAAATTCTTCTCTTGCTTTCCATAGTTCTGGCATCTTGGATTTGCTGTGTGAAAAATCCATTCATATACAGCTCAATTGTTTTCAAAAAATGATTTGTATTTACTGTTTTCCTAAGTATGCATTTAAAACAAAGCAAAACAAGATAAATGCTGAATGAAGTAATTAGTACTTCATCAGAATCAGTTCAACAAACATTCAATTAACATTAATTTTCTCTCTTCAAAATAATGACATTGTCTTTCCACCAACCACTTTTCTACCCTGATAGCTATAATTAAGACTTTTAAAAGACTTTGTGTTTAATTCAGGTAATACAGCCAAGATGGAACCTGGAGAAAGACCAATGAAACAGTAAGGCAGATTGTATTTTTAACAGCAAAGAGACAATTTTTGATAAAGACCTCACATGAGGGCCACACAACACTCAATACTGTTACTTAAACAGTATTTTCAAACCGGCAAAGTAGGTAATAGTATCTTCATTTTACAGGTAAGGAAACTGGGGCTCTGAAAGGTTATTTGATTTCCCAAGGCTAACAAATAAGGCCAGGACTGTTCCTTGGTGGGAACTGGCCTTAGGAGGACGTCATTAAACCCACTCACCTGTAGACCTCTGCCCCGCGGTTTCCGTTGGGTTCAAACTTCAGAGGACCAACCTTCTTACTATGCGCATGCTCACTTTCAACACTCAAAAAAGCCACTGAGAAGGAATGCGCATGTTCCTTTCCCTGAAGAATTTTGCTTTTTAAAAAAAAAAAAAAAATTCAGAAAGGTCAAGTACGCATGTTCAATTTCAATTTATCAACTTCAGATACGGTACGCATGCTCTGTCCATCCAACTCGCTCTCTCGCAAACAATACGCATGCTCCAGGCTTCCAGAGCGGCTTCTGTTGGTTTTGTGCGCATGTCTCTGCCGGTATCTGGCTCATGGAGCTAGTTCTACGCATGTCCATTGCCCATACGTAGGCTTCACGGAACTCTGTACGCATGCTCCAGCGCTGAACTTGACGAGCCAGTCTAGGGCCTAGGCGCAGACGCATTGAGCCGAAGCAGCCAGTGATGGCGGCAGCAGCGACGGTGTCTGCGGCGGGTCCGGGCCCATGAGGCGACGACGGAGGCGGGACGGCTTTTACCCAGCGCCTGACTTCCGAGACAGGGAAGCTGAGGACATGGCAGGAGTGTTTGACATAGACCTGGACCAGCCAGAGGACGCAGGCTCTGAGGAGGAGCTGGAGGAGGGGGTGAGGCCCGGGGTCCCGGGGGGGCCCGAGGTGACAGGGTCGGGGCGGCATCGCAGACCCAGGAAGCTTGGTGTGTCCTAGAGCTCGCAGACCGTGGGGGGCGCAAGTAGTCTTCTGGCGGAGCTGAGGCGCCGTGCTACCAAAAGATACAGGGAGCGGACAGGGCGGACCTGGCCCTAGGTGTGAGGTCTCTGCGGGGCTCGCAGGTGCGGGTTGCGCCCTTATCCCCAGAGCAGCGCAGCCCCGAGCCACCTGTTTGCGGAGACGAGAATTGGCGCGTGGTCGGTTTCCGAAGCTGTTTGACTTGAGTGTGGCGGGGTGGTGTACTTGGCGCGGGTGGTGTGAGCATGTGTTGGGAGTGGGGGAGGCTACGCTTGCCTGGTGTCCCGTAAGTGCAGGTGAAATATAGAAGGGTTTCCCTCGGTTGGTAAAATTTCAAGTCTTAAATCTTCAGACCTCCCACAACCGCCTCTCTTCTCGGCCTGTCGCTTCTCTCCTAGGAAGCGCTCAGCTGTTAGAAGTGACAGCTGAAAACTTCTGTCGGGAGTAGCGCTGCCGCTGCTGTTACAGCCACCAGGAGTTTTATTTCGGGAGCAAGGGGGCTCTGCTGCATCTTCCAGGGTTTGTTTGTTTGCCTTTTTTTTTAAACCCCCTCCCGTGTGACTTTTTAAAAAAAAATTATAACGACACACGGCATTTGTAACTTATTCCCCTAAGTTGAAGATGTCTATATTTTTTCAGAATAATTTATGTAATTTGGTGGTGGGAAAAAACCAGTCTTGACAGCTGTGATTTGGCTTGCCAAAAATAAATTGCTTGAACTGAGACTTGTGAATAGTGGTGTGAGGGCTTTCCTTGCTGTAATTTAGGGTGCTAAATTTAGGCTTGTTTATCCTAATGCACATCTTGTTTTTTTTACCTTTGCCGTCTTACTAGTTTGTCATTTTTTTCCTAAGACATATTTATTGAAAAATCACAAAATTGAAGTTCAAAAATGATGTTGTCAAACTCACTGTGGACAAATGATCATCAGTTATTACTTCATGATAATTTAGGTCCTAAATCTCATTGTCTTATGAGTACCTGAATCTATGACTGATGTCAGATGTTTGCTGTAGCTGCTATTCTTTTTTTTTTTTTCTCATCCCCAGTTTTCCTTTTCTGGCAAGTAAATCATGTCCTACTGCTGACAAAAGATCGAGATGCTAACTACATAGAACTTTAAGAGAGCCAAAATAATACTATTCTTTTCATAATCAAGTCAATCAAAATCACACAGTCTAGAAAATATTGAGCTAGGTACTTTTTTTTTTTTTTTTGGTACTGGGGATCGAACTCGGGTCCTTGTGCTTCCGAAGCAGGTGGCGAAACCACTGAGCTAAATCCCCGGCCCTAGGTACTTTTTTTTTTTTTTAATGAGACAGGGTCTCACTTTGTAGTTCAGGCTGGTCTTGAGTTCACTATGTAGTCCAGGCTGGCCTCGAACTCACAGCGATCCTCCTGCCTCAGCCTCCCGAGTGCTGGGATTATAGGCATGTGCCACCACACCTGGCTGAGATATGTGCTTTTTAAATTGATATATTTTCTTTTTCTTTTTTTTGTACCAGGGATCAAACTCTGGTCCTTGCACTTGCGAGGCAGGTGGTGGAACCACTGAGCTAAATCCCCGGACCTAAATTGGTATATTTTCTAATGGAATTCCAGTTAGCCTCTTAATTGGACACTAAATACAACTTGAAACAAATGCAGAATTACTTTCCTTATGTGTCTCACTCTGATCAGTTACATTGGTTCCATATTGCGGTGGCTTTGGAGAAAAAACTGGATAGGAAGGATGCTTTATGTCTTTATTAGTTGAACTAATAGAATTCCCAGACTACTGGTTTATCCTCTTTTAAAAGTATGGGCCGGGGATTTAGCTCAGTGGTTCCACTGCCTGCCTAGCAAGCACAAGGTCCTGAGTTCGATCCCCGGTACAAAAAAAAAAAAGTACAATATCGAGGGCTGGGGTTTAGCTCAGTGGTTCAGCTGCCTGCCTCTCAAGCTCAAGGACCAGAGTTCAATCCCCAGTACCAAAAAAAAAAAAAAAAGTACAATATTGAGGGTCAGGGATTTAGCTCAGTGGTTCCGCCACCTGCCTCACAAGCACAAGGTCCCGAGTTCTATCCCTGGTACAAAAAAAAAAAAAGTACAATATTGTATTAAGATTCCTGTTTTAAACCAGGACCTCATTTTTTTCACTTTCTTAATATGTTTCAAGAACAATTGGTGTTCCAGTTTTGCCCTACTCCTGAGTTTTGTTTTGCTAGGTACAGCAAGTAGGATTCTGAAAGGGTATGGTGGAAAGGACCAGGAAAAAATGGAAAAGTGAAAGAAATATGGCCACTACATTAGGGAGGGGAACTTTGGAGAAAGAACAGAGGTAATTAAAGAGGATCTTGAGGAAGAGCCTTAAGTAAAGTATACCTCACTTAGCAATATTTTTGGAGTTGAAATATTTTTGGTTTGTTTTTGCAGTACTGGGGATTAAATCCAGGGATACTGTACCACAGAGCTATATCCCTAGCTGTTTTTATATCATTTTGTGACATGTCTTTGCTAAATTGCCCAGGTTGGCCTAGAACTTGTGATCCTCCTGCCTCAGCATCCTCAGTAGCTGAGGTAACAGGCATGAGCCACCATCTCCAATGACAATGTTTTGTTTTTTTGGTTTTTTTTGTACCAGGGATCGAACTCAGGTCTTTGCGCTTGTGCAGCAGGCGGTGAAACCACTGAGCTAAATCCCCGGCATGGACAATGTTTCTTTTATTTTACTTATTTTTGAGACAGGGTCTTTTATATTTTGTAGTTCATACTGCCCTTGAGCTCACTATTCTTGTACCCACTGGTTTTAATATATACTACTATATCCCTCTTAAGCAATGAATCAGGGCTTTTAAAAAAGTTAGGTGGCAGGCCGATACAAGTTCCCAATGATGAATGTAACTGTATTGTATACCTAAAATGTACCAGTAAACTTAATGGAAAAAAAAAGTTAGGTGGCAGGCATTCAATTTTGTTCATAGATATATCAGTTTAGTCTCATCATTTACCCTCTGAAGAATTAACTAAACTAGCTGGGCATGGTGGTGAATGCCTGTAATCCCAACACTGAGGAGGCTGAGGCTGGAAGATTGCCTTGAGTTCGAGGCCAGCCTGGACTACATAGTGAGACCCTGTCTCACACACATAAAAAAAATCAACAAAAAACCAAAAAACTAAGCTATGTAAATACACTTAAATAAATAAGATTGACTCAGTGTAACGTACCTAAAAAGACATATATATCTTTATTTATTTATTTATTTATTTAGTACTGGGGATCAAACTCAGGACCTTGTGCTTGGGAGGCAGGCGGCGGAACCACTGAGCTAAATCCCTGGCCCTGATATATATCTTTAAATAGGGTTAGTGACCAAAAAAAAATGATGCTACAGTTCTAAAAATACAGCACATCTAGTTTAAGTGCATCTAGTATTAAGTCTCTAGACACGGAGTGTAAACTCGAATGACTAGATCCTTGGCAGTGAGTAACACTGACAGACTACATTGCCACAAACTAGCAGATATGCCAGCATGTTGCTAGAATACTTTATGTGCTTTATCTTGTGTAGAGTAGAAGAAAGTGTCAGATTAAGCAATTTACTCTAGGTCTCAGAGTCAATGAGTATGGCCAAAGAGATGTGAACTTACTTTTGATACACTACAAAGAAACAAGGCACAAAATCAGCAAGACTAAAAATTGCAGTCAAGCATCTGTGCAATAAAATTTGTTACATTGAATCAGAAAAATTTAAAACTGTGATTGTGGGCAATCATCTTACCTATGCCTCAGCTTTCTTAGTATAAAATGAAGTAAAGCTACTATGATATGAGCCAATGTTAAGAAAGTTTTCATATAAAGTTATAAATTCACAATAGGAGACAGTAGATTTTCTAAAGAATTTAAACCTCTCATAGTTCAGATTTTTTTTTTATTTCTAGTACGAGGGATCAAACCGAGGACCTTGCCCTTGCAATGCAGGCTCAGCGCCACTGAGCTAAATACCTGGCCCTTATTTCAGATTTTTAATAAGAATTTTACTATTTCAGAATAATCTGGATGTCATTCACTCTGCTTGGGTTTCTAATCCAATCTTACTCCTACTTTTTCCTCTGTCCACCTTGAGGCAACTCTTCAGAGTAAGACACTCAAGCTGGATGTGGTGGTGCACACTTGTAATCCCAGCGTTTGGGAGACTGAGGCAGAAGGATTGCTGGCCGGCCTGGGCTACATATAAGTGCAAGGCTGGCCTGACAACATAGTGAGGCCCTGTCTCCAAACAAAGAAGAGTACTGTAGAAAACAGTAGTGCAATTTAAAAAAAAAAATTATTTTTGGCAGTGCTATGGATTGAGGCCAGTGCATATTAGGCAAGTACTCCACCCCAGGCTATATCCTTGTCCCTGTAGTTTTTAAAATCCTTACTTTTTATTCCAGTTCAAAATTTGAAATAATCAGAGGCATACTGCATAAGTTTCAGGTTGGAAAAATAAGAGGGTTTTTTTTTTTTTTCGTACCAAGGATCAGACTCTGGACCTTGCACTTGAGAGGCAGGTGGCGGAACCACTGAGCTAAATCCCTGGCCCGGAGTTGTTTTTATTTTTGTCTTAGAACTGGGGATTGAACTCAGAGCCTTTGCAGTGAGCTACATCCTTCAGCCCTTTTATTATTTTTTATTTTTTATTTTTTTGGGTATCGGGGATCAAACTCAAAACCTGGTGCTTGTGAGGCAAGCACAGCTCCACTGAGCTAAATCGCCGGCCCCAGCCCTTTTATTTTTTGAGACAGGGTCTCCATAAGTAGCTGAGTTGCCCAGGCTGGGCTCAAACTTGTAACCTTCCTCCCACACTCTCGCAGTGTGCTGGCATCACAGATCTATACTGTCATACCTGGCTGTATATCAGATTTTCTTTTTCTTT